CTCTCTCTCTCACACACACACACACACACACACACACACACACACAAGAAAGAAAGAAGGAAGGAAGGAAGGAAGGAAGGAAGGAAAGAAAGAAAGAAAGAAAGAAAGAAAGAAAGAAAGAAAGAAAGAAAGAAAGAAAGAGTTCTGTGTTCAAATAAATGTATTTCAACTTTAAACCTCAGGCATTCTCTTAAAGAAATTAAACTCCGAAAACAACACAGTAAGTACTTTCACTCATAATTAGACATTCAACTTTTGCTTTAGTCTGTGGAAGAGTAAAACTGCAGAAATTTATAGGTAGTTTGTCAATTCAATTGCAATAAATTTAGTTCCTAGAATCCACAGTTATCTAAACTACTTAGTGAGATATTCTCTTTAATGAAAACTGCTAAATATTGTTGTTAATATTCATAAATGCAGTCATTAATGATTTATGAAAGCTCTATTATCAAGATGTATTTCCTTCTACTAATATTGCAACAGCCTTTAGCACTTTTGTCAAGAGCAAAACTGTTTTGGCCTGATGAAGCTACATTTTTAAAAAGTCAAAAGGAATAGATCCTGTTTTCTCCTTGTCACACTTTAACATTATCAGTGAGGAACTAACAAATGCTTAATGATATTCTAGGGTTGATGTTGCATCCACCTCCACCCTCCCCTGTATGTCCTCACTCCTTTGCCATCTTCTCCCAGGAAGAAGGAAGCCAGCATGAGTTGCATTTTACCTTAGCAGCCAGTCAGTGAAGACACACAGTCTAACCTTCAACCTTGGTGATTTTCGCCTGTGGCCACTCCCCACATCCCTGTCATCCAAGCCCAACCCTCTGTGACAACCTGATCCTCTTATCAATGGTAAATGCTGAAATAAGAATGTGAAGGGCTGGGGGTGTAGCTCAGTGGTAGAGTGGCATGCTTAGAATATGGGAGGCCCTGGATTCCCCCTAAAAGAAATTGAAGATAAAAGGGAGATTAAGGATAGCTTTTCAATAATAGGGATGGGGCTAAGGTCATCACCAGAGTCAATATCAAATGAACTACAACTTCCAGCATCCCTGACTTACTATGGGACTTTGGAAAGCTTACCACTTCTGTCTCAAATTTTTCCTCCCTAAAGCCTAGTATTCTGCTATTTCTTACCAATAGAAGATTTTAAAATAATAAAGGTGATACTACGTTTTTCTGAATAAAACAATAACACGAACCTACAAAGATCTAATCCTAAAGTCTCAAAGAATTTGTGAATAAAGAATTTAAATGACAAATGCCAGGTGAGGGTATATTGGATATGGGGAGTATGTGACTGAAGAGGGACTGTGCATTTTGGGGGGAGTATGCAGTGAGTCAAAAATCCCCACAAGAGAGGAGAACTGGAAAGCCTTAAAAAATGTTCATACTCAATATTCCACTTCTAAGACTCAATTGTAAGGAAATATTCAAAAACATGGGTGAGATTTACGGAGAAAAAATTATATTGCCATTATTTGCATCAATAAAAAATTAGAAATAACTCAAATATTTAATAAAAAAATTAAGATACATTCATATCATGAAATATTCTATCACATTTAAAATAACATTTTTGCCAGGTGTAGTGGCACACGCCTGTAATCTCAGTGGTTCGGGAGACTGAGGCAAGAGGATTTAAGTTGAAAGCCAGCCTCAGCAATTTATCGAGTTAACAGCACTGATACTATCAGTTGCACACCTCACATTAATGGCTATGGAAATGAGGGACACAGTAATCGAGGTAGATGATGGTATGACTAAGGAAACACAGTAAGGTCAATCAAGAGCCCCTCTTTCCCTGAGTCACCAGTCAAGAGTCATCTCTCTTCTGAGAGTGCTGGTTGGAGTTGATATGCTTTTGACCACACAATTTATATGGATACAATACTGAGACTGATAATCCTAGGGGGAAAAATCATCTACGAGGCTTCATTCCACTCTGATTATAATGCTATGGTTATAATAAGCCAATGCCAATTGGAATTCGTTCACACCCATCCTTTCTTTCCTCTAATTTATTTTAGTGCTTGGTGAATACTTTCAAGTTCCATGCCCATGACAATGCAGAGGGGTTGTTCAGAAGTGTGAAAGAGAACTAACAGAATATATCCAGAAGCAGGACACATTCTCAAAGTGGGGAGAGGGCTATATGAACTCAGCCTTTGATAGGTCTCTTACAATTGCTACCTTCCCCTATAGAACCATGCACTAATCTTCAGAGTCATTGTCACCCTCATCCATTGCCTATCAAAATCCCAAAAGATATGATCCTGAATGCCATAATCCTGAATGTGGAAATCCAAAAATATCAAAGTCTCAAATGAAAGATTATAATTCCAAATGTTAAAATCTAGAGAGCAAAATACAACCCCAACACAATTTCCATGGAAATAAAAAGAGGCTATATGAGAAGCTATATGAGAAAACCAAATTCTGAGAAGTGAATCAATGCATTCTTTGTTGTACACAGGATAATTGCCAAATGATTCAATTATGTACTAATTCTGCCCTTTCACACATAGCACATGCTTGCCTTCAAAAAACACCATTTGGCTGGGATGTAAGTCAGTGGTAGAGTGCTTGCCTAGCATGTGCAAGGCTCTGGGGTCGAGAACCAGCACCAAAACAAAACAAAACAAAACAAAACAAAAATGCCTTTTGTCAGAATAAAAATTTGACAAGCTCAGCAACACTCTGAACTAAAGACACTTGCTGATACAGAAGTTCCTCCAGTGGACAAACCACATTAAATGGTGAACTATTCTTGGTTGGGGATTTGACTTTCAAATTGAATCATAGAAGAATTTTAAAAAGAACCATGCCACATAAAAATATGGATATGAATTTTTTCTCCAAGAAGAGCCATGTCCCAAAAGAAAAAAGGAACGATTTATTACAATATTCATAATTCATCAAAATATTGCTAATGATCATGAAAGTTGGCCAACTCTTATGGACTACCTCCACACAACTGTACATAATTTATCCCTGTAATATACTTCTTTACATGTCTAATTTTCTTTTTAGCTTTTTTTCTTCTTTTTTTCCCAGAATTTTTAATTGTCAACATTATTTTTTTTATTTTCTATGCTAGGTATTTTATCTTTGCATAATTTCCAATACTGGAAGTATAAATTATGTAAAGATATTTAGAGTTCCAATTTTTTTAAAAAAATATTTATTGGGAGGGGCTGGAATTGTGGCTTAGTGGTAGAGTGTTCACCTAGTATGCATGAGGCACTGGGTTCGATCCTCAGCACCACATAAATATAAAATAAAGATGTTATGTCCATCTAAAACTAAAAAACAAATATTAAATAAATATTTTTTAAAAAAATATTTATTTTTTAGTTGTAGTTAGACACAGTACCTTTATTTTATTTTTTTATTTTTATGTGGTGCTGAGGAGTGAACCCAGAGTTTTACTGCTGAGCCACAACCCCAGCCCTTAGAGTTCCAATATTTTATGCACTTTTTGCAAAACTGACTCTGAGAAATGCATTATTCTAATGTTGACTTTGTTTGTAAGCATTGTGCATGTACATGAAGACATTGAAACTTCCTCAGTAAGTGAAGAGATGTCCTTTTTGTATATCTACATTTGTGAAAGATGAAAGTTCTCAAGATCCTAGCTATATGAGTGACTGTATATGTAGTAGGGACCCACTGTGTTTTTGGTTAATGTTTCCATAAGACTTATGTTGTATTTCTGATTTCTGCAGTTAAAAATATGAGTACACACAATTATCAGCCATAGTGATGTGCATTTATATATTTCACTTTTTTACCTATTTATCTATGAATACAACTTGTCTACTCATAACAGATGGCTGTCCTGAGTACACCTGAGTGTTTATGCTTGCAAAAACATGTAAGTTTTAAAGAATTTTTAAAATTTATCTGCAGAATTATATTATTGAGATGCTGATCTTTGGGGATTTTAGACTTTAGAGATTTTAGGTCATTTCAGGATTATGGTAATTGGGATTGTGTCTTGGAATTATAGCCCAAACCCACCACCATCCAAATAGCAAAAGGAATAATAGCAACTTAATTTTATAGAGTTTTCAATCTTTCATACTGTTGAAATTTACCACAACTCAAGAGAGGTTAAGTGACTTGCTCAGCGTTCAACTCTTTGTTCCTTCTCTAGATCCCCAGATATCACTCTTCAGCTGACACTACTGGGAGGAGTATTTTAAGGGTAAGCCTAGAGAACATCAGCTGTGTATAGGAGAATTCTCTGCGGCAAGTAGCCTCAGGGTTGTGATGGAATTTCTAACCCTTAAAATACTCCTAAGTGTGTTGAAGTAGTGATTGGGGATGGAGGAGAAAGAGAAAAAAGACGGAGGAGGAGGAATTATTTGGTTTCGGTTTGAGCCTCAAGAACGGACTTTCTGGGTGGTAATATCCAGAAACTCCACTTCTCTTGGGTCCCTTTTAGCTCAACTGATGCCCAGGAGAGAGTCTGTACGTCACCACTTATCTATTACCTTCTTTCCACCGCCTTCCCCAGCCACCGCGGGAGCCGCGGGCGCCTGGTTACTATGGCAACCGCGACCAGCCCGCAGCCAGCTCTGCTGCGACACTGACTTCTCCAACCTCAGCTGAGATGCCGTGGTGAGAACCGACAGTGAGGCAGAAGCCAGCATCTCATTCCTTCTTCACTATTCTCATCATGAATTTCCGGACCCTGAGAGGACTGGGGGTAAGGGACAAGGAATGAACAAGAGCCTCCGGATGCTAACCTCCTGTGGGATTCCAGCTGCAAGTGGAGCGTGCAACACTTAAGTTGTGTGCAGCCATTCCAGCGGCACCTGTGTTCTGAGGACTGACTGACCCTGGGAAGGCAGACACTCGCCGCCGATGGAGAAGATGCTGCTTTGAAGCTCTCATTGGTATGTACCATCAAATTTTCCTCTGGCTGAGCAGATTTTCTAAATGACAAGGTTTTGTGTCTTGATTGATGGCTCTTTTTTTAAAATCCCATCTTTTAACTGCTTATGGCTTTAAATTGCATTTGCCTTTCTTACATCTCTAGGTCTCCCTTTAAACGTTCTACTCTCTTAATCAGTGGGAGCTACACCCCCAGTATCCGTAATCTTATTTATCACACCCCACCGGTGCAGAGACCATGCATCACAAATACACACCCTAGAAATAGCAGAGAAGCAGCAGAGTTCAGTTTCCCAGCCACTATAATCCAATTTTATTTATGTTTCTGTCTGCAATCAAAGAAATAGAGACCTTAGGCAAAAAAAAAAGGTGGTATGTCAGATGTCAGTGGAATGCCATAAGATTCCTAGCAAAGCCTTGTCCTTTCTGGTGAGCTGAGTGAATCATTCCATTAGCTCATCCAGAGGAAACAATTGTTACACAAGGAGGGACCTCTATTTCAGTCCAGTAGAGGGCGTCAGCGCTTGCCTACACAGCTCAGTAAACAGGCCCAAAGATGAAATAGGCGCACACGTACGCATGAACTCCCAGGCTGCAATGGACCCGCGAAAGTGCTGCTCTTCGGGATCTTTAAACAAAGGGATGGTTAAATTCATTCCCTGCTAGAAGCAATGGGACGGGCCAAATGACTTCTGGAGGGTTGTATTTGTTTTGGAATCAAATGATTATGATTAGGTATTTTCTGTATATCAAGTCCTTCCCTTGCCTTCCAACCTCTTGCTTTTCCTCCCCTCCCCCCCCACCTTTCTTATTGGTCTATTGCTGTGATCAACTATTTAGAATTTTCATTGTTGGAAAGGTGAAACCTAGTTAGAATGAAAGATAAACAAACTCAAGGCTGAACCAGTGCACCCGCTCCCCTCCGCAGTACTATTCCATTGGTTCTTTCCCCTGACTGCTATGGTGCTTCCCCCTTTAAAAAATGCCAATGCTTTGGTCTCATTCTCCAGAGATTTTGATTTAATTGATCTGGGATACAGCTTAAACACTGTTGTTTTTGTTTATTGTTTTTTTGTTTTTTAAGCTTCCAGATGACTCCAATGAGCTAAGATTGAAATCTGCTGTTCTAGTCGTCAGGATCTAGTTGTGTCAAGTGAATTTGGTAATAGTTAAGCTTCTCTAATAGGCTGCCGTTGTAAGGCCGAGCATATAATTGTCATGAATTCCTAAAAGCTACAGGCAAAGACACCTGGCAGGAACTTGGGCTGCTCAAAGAAGCTGAGAAGGAAGGTGATGTTTCAGAAGAGGAAGGGAAGATCTGTCTCGGAATAGATTCCATCACTAAGTGAAATGTTCTGACCTATATTTCAGGGCAAGGAGAAAAGGAGATATGTACCTTTGCAAAACTGTAGAGTGAAAGCCTGGCCCCTTAGATTTATGGACTCCATGTTTATGTATTAATCAGCATCACATGTGTAAATATCCCATCTACCCACTGCAAGGAGGATGGATATTTGGAAAGAAGAGAACAGGGATGCAGGGGTCTCTCTAGTGAAGGAAAAAGTAACAAAAAGGTCATCTAGGAATTATAGTCTTATCTTTCTTTAGGTCTGATACCCTTCAAAATACCCTCAAACACCTCCTAAGTCTTTGGGAAAACCTAGAGATTTTCTTTTCCTGAAAATTGGAGCAGCAGGGTAAAATCCTCTCCACAAGTACTCTCGCAGATTGCAGGGCACAACTGTTCTTCTACCTCTATCTCACAAATATTCACAAATCATAAATGCTGAGAAGCAGGTGGGAGGTAGAAATTACACAGCAAGTTTGCAACACCTAAGGGGCTCAAGGACATTTAGGTAAGGCCTTAGAACTCTGGGCCCAAGAAGCTACATTTTACTTTATTTTTGTAAAATATATTTTTATTTGTAAGTAGACACAATACCTTTATATATTTATTTATTTTTATGTATGCTGAGGATAGAACCCAGTACTTCATTTGAGCTAGGCAAATGCTTTACCACTGAGCCACAACCCTAGCCCAAGAAGGTAAATTTTAAAATATACTAGAATGTATGATCTACCAATCTGGTGCCAGAGCTTCTCCAGTCAGCTTCCTAAGGCTCTTGCTTTCATTTTGGATAGACAGAGAAAAAAAGTAAGCATAAATGACAGTACTGAGTCTTCTGAAAACCTTGGCTAGTTTCAGTCATTTATCTTATAAGTTGGCAAGAGAGTTAAGTTATTGTGTAAAGAGCATATAACCCACTGAATTGGAACCACACAGCATTGTATGCCAGGGTCACTCAGGGAGGGACTGAGAGGTATCTCCCAACACAGAATGGCCACAGCTCTCCCACAATGATGTGCCAGATTACTTGTCTCTACTTTCCCTTAGTGACCTACCAAACCCTCTCCTTGTGCCTCCTTGCCAAGAAATCTCCAGTTATAACCACCTCCATCCTCCCTTTTACTCATTGTTTTTCAAGTTCTGTGGCACAGCCATAGAACATTACTTGGTTTCCTGCAGTCACCCAGACCTCCTGAAACAATACCTTCACTTTCTCTGCCTGAGCTTCCTCCAGGGTCTCCCCCAGGATTTCACTCTGTCAAGATGGCTAAGGGTATTCTATACCTGGGCAGCTCATAGCCTCTCTCACTAAATTAGTGCTGCTTCCGATCAGTTTTGCCTAGCCCACAGAAGCTTCTGCTACTGCCACCCCTAACACCCTTTCTTAAAAGTTACCTCACCTCATAAGGTAGTTGGGGCTAACCCTGTGAAGGCTACCAGCCCATTAGATGGCTAACCTAGCAACAGGAAAAACATGTCTCATTTCTCACTGTCCCCTTCCACCATAACCACCAATAACTATTCTCTGAAAAAAGCAATTTACTTCACAGGTCACCGGAGAAAAATGTCCAGTTGATCTGACTTGATCCATGTCTATCAGTTCATCTTTGTAAACAATACACAAACTCACATTGGAGATAGTAGGGAGTTTTTGATGCTTTAATAAAATGCTATTTTACACTTTTCAAACTGCAGATTGTGACATCATTGAGCCATGAAATCAAGTTGATGGGTCGTGGCCAGCATTTTCCAAAGGAAAAAAGCTAATAGAACAGAAAATGTCAGAGTACTTTCATGTAGTGAAGTTTTATTTTCTAGAATTTGTGTTTCAGTTTTATGTATATGATGTTTGGGTGAAATGAGTCCTTACATAAATGTATTTCTTATTGTGATCATAGTCAAATTACTTTTAAATTCATTACCTTTCCGGGCTGTGGCTCAGAGGTGTGTGTGAGGCACTGGGTTCGATTCTCAGCACCACATATAAATAAATAAAATAAATGTCTATCAACAACTAAAAAAATAAATAAATAAAAATTCATTACCTTTCAGCAATCACTGAAGGAAATTAGAGTTGAATTAGTGAAATATTAAAAAGTCAAATTCTAAAAAAGTTAGCAAAAACCATAGAATTCAGTAAATATTTTGTTTGCTTTGTTTTGATGCTGGGGATGGAACTCAGGGCCTCACACATGCTCAGTGAGTTCTATCACTGAGCTACACTTCAACCTGGACCAAACCTTTAATAAATTATTTTTAATCCTGAGAAGGAAAAAAGTAAACATCTCTATTTTTTAATAAGCATTATAATTTCATGCAGAGCTACCTACTGTATTATATGACATTCTGGAAATAACAAAACTTTAGTGAAAGGAAACAGATTAGCAATTGCCTAGGGCTGGGGGTATAGGAGAGAATTTTATAATAAAAGGGTATAAGAAACTTTTCTGTATAGAACTACTTTTTAATTGTATTTATTTGTTAAAAGTCATACACTGTACACTAAGAAGAGTAAATATTATGACATATAAATTACACCTCAATAAACCTGACTGGGGTGGGGCTAGTGATGTAGCTCAGAGGGAGAGTGCCCGCCTGGCATGCACTTGGTTCCACCAGTAGTACAAATAAACAAACAAATCAACAAACAAACCTGATTAGATGCTAAAAGCAAAAACAAACAAAAACCCTCCATGGGGCTAGGGATGTTGCTCAGTGGTAGAGCATTTGCCTAAAATGTGCAAGGCTCTAGATCAATCCTCAGCACCACACAAACGAAACAAAACAAAAATCCAGGATAAATTCACAGTACATAAAAAGAAATTCATCCATTTGAGGAAGGAAATGCAATGAGCAAATAAATGGGTATATATTCATCATCAATTATAGCAAAACTGTGATATTATTTCACTTCTTGCTAATGATTAATGATGTTTAAAAACCACAATGTAATGCTATGGCAGTTACAGTAAAATAGCATTGCTTATTATGGGTTGCATTGTAAATTGATAAAATCTGGACAGAATACAATATTATAACACATGGAAAAATCCATAAAATCATCACACCCAGGAATTTATTCCCACAAGTTAATTAAGAAAGTTTTTCTTATTTTGTTTTTGTTTTAAGACAGGGTCTGTGTCACCTGTACTTATCTCTAACTCCTGGCCTTAAGCAATCCTTGTCTCAGCCTCCTGAGTACCTGAGACAAGCACCACGTTGTCCAGCAACAAAGATTTTTAAAATTCCAAATACAAAAAAAAAAGATATTCTCTACTGTGTTATTATAATAGAAAAAATAGATATAGCTGAAATATCCAATGTTACAGAAACAGTTTTGAAATTTGTGGTACATAAATACAATACAGTATTTTGTACTCAAAAAAAAAATCCAGAGAAAAGTAGAAAGAATCGTGGTAAAATTTGTAATAAAATGAACAATAGCAGAATACAAAATAGCAATTGTGTCATGTCATGTTTGTAACTTTAATGTGTGCATATAGAAGATGAAATGCCCATATACAAGTAACTCTGCTGAAGCAATGGCTTATAGATGAGTTTTTGGTGTTCAAAAAACATTTGCTGGCTGTGTAATGGCACATGCTTATAATTAATCCTGTAGGCTGAAGCAAGAGAATCATAAGTTCAAGGTCA